CTGGGTTGGGTGTTTTATATTTTGCAAGCTGCCTGGAATCACTGAAAGGGAGGGGGCGGCCCTATTAATTCCAATACAGTAAAGTGAGGTGAGGTGAAGTAAGGCATAATAATAATAATAATAATAATAATAATAATAATAATAATAATAATAATAATAATAATAATAATAATTAATAATAATAATAATAATAATAATAATAATAATAATAATAATAATAATAATAATTCCAAAACAACTGGAGCACCACTTGAACACCATTGGCATTGACAAATTCGCTATTAGTCAATTGCAAAAGGCGGCCTTACTAGGAACTGCTTCCATCCTGCGACGAGATCTGTGACACCATCAAACATCCACATCTGCCTATCCCAGGTCCTTGGGAAGGACTCGATAGGCAGACAAAAAGGCCAAATCCAGTCTGGACATCTGGCTGACTGCGATGATTAATAATAATAATAATAATAATAATAATAATAATAATAATAATAGTAATAGTAAAGTTGGAAGGGACCTTGGAGGTCATCTAGTCCAACCCCCTGCTCAGGCAGGAAACCCTATACCGTTTCGGACAAATGGCTGTCCAGTCTCTTCTTAAAAACTTCCAGTCTTGGAGCATTCACCGCTTCTGGAGGCAGGTTGTTCCACTGGTTAATTGTTCTCACTGTCAGGAAGTTTCTCCTTAGTTCCAGGTTGCTTCTCTCCTTGATTAGTTTCCATCCGTTGCTTCTGGTCCTGCCTTCCAGTGTAAAGTAAAAATGTAAAGTAAAGAGTAAAGAGTAAAGAGTAAAGTAAAGTAAAGTAAAGTAAAGTAAAGTAAAGTAAAGTAAAGTAAAGTAAAGTAAAGTAAAGTAAAGTAAAGTAAAAAGTAAAATAAAAAAGTAAAGTAAAGTTATAAAATAAAATAAAATAAAATATAAAATGAACTGAACTGAAATAAAAGGATATAAATGCAGGCCCCAGCCACCTCCAGGCAGCAGCTTCTCCTTCGGGGCCAGATGCCAGCTGGCAGTGCCCGGTTCAAGGAAGGCCCCGAAGGCAGGAGAGGGGCTGGCCTAATCCAGAGCCTTCAGTGGCCCCCAGAAGCTCCCCCTGCGGCTGGGCAAGGACCGTCCTGCTCCTTATCACCCCCAGCCCAGGAGGGGAGGCAGCCGGGCTGATAGGGCCCAGCCCTGAGCGCCTTCCCTTCTGTCTCCAGCAATCACACCCCCCCCCCCCGCAAGAAGAGGCTCTGGTGACACTTTCCCCACGGCCCGTCCGGGAGGGGGCCAAAGGTAGGACGGGGAAGATAATAATAATAATAATAATAATAATAATAATAATAATAATAATAATAATA